CTGACACTTATCAAGGATTCACGCCGATCGCCAGACCTTCCATTGATGCGTACTCGAATGTAGACTTTCAGGACGGTGTATACGCGTCTACAACGCCGCAATCTTTGACGTTTGGTCCTGCGGAAGCAATAACGTCGAGTTACGTCACTCAAGATCCACGAAGTTATACAGCCTCCAGTTCAAGTCGATATACCTACGTCACTCCGAATCCGTCGTCGTACATCCAAAGATATCTGGGACAGAGTTCTCAGCACACAATAAACGTGCAGAATTACTCCAGACCGAAACAAGGTGCAACGAAATCCTCGACGTCCAGTCCCCATGAGGCTGCTGCTTTCTCGGAACATCTAAATTCTCGTAATTACGCACGACCAGGTTCGAATACGGTGGAATCTTCGACTCTCACGTCCGACGATGCGTCTAGCTATTCGAAGGACGCTAGACCGTTTCCCAATTTGCCCCGATACACGGTAGAAAACGGTGTCAGATACGAAAACAAGATATTCTGGAAGTATCCAGACGGCAGAGTGTCTGATGAGCCGCCTAAGACATACGAGACTTACTCCGAATACCCATCATTGGCCGCATTACAGGCAGCTAAGGATCAGGACGCCTCGCAGGTCTACGAATCTGCCTCTACGGAGGGCAGCGTGATGTCACAGGGTCCAGTGCAGTTCCCGTTGGCACCGGAAATCTCCAGTTCAAGAGTCCCATTCATCTCGGCCAATTCTCTATCCCGCCTGCAGCAGCAGCAGCAAGCGTTTCGACTGGGCTATCAAAGTTTCATTAACCACAAGCAGACAGCTTCGCAGCAAGTCAAAGCTGGCAGCGGAGTTTCGCCCACATATTCAATCCCCTCGACAACTCTGTCGCCGAGGAATCCTCTCAAATCAACCGGGAAAAGTCCGAAGAATCGATACGAGACGTTGAGACCGATCTCGAAATACATGGTGAATAGTCCGAATCCGGAATACATTAACAACGCGGAGAAGAATGCGAAATCTACCAGACTTTTTACTTCATCAGGTAAGCTGATACTTTACACTTTCTCGAGATACATCAGTGAAAAAATAATTGCATAATTTAACTTTTTTATAATTTAAAATTTTCGCCAATTATTATTAATTTTTTGATAGAGCTATGATAAATATTATTATTATTGTATAATATTATTATTGTATTATATTAATATTATTATTATTATTATAGTAAATAATAAATATAAAATTAGAGCTTCTAACCATAGTTATTATACTACATAATTACAGTAAAAAATATCAAAAATTTTTACAAAACGACATGTGATCATGCGATTACTTGAGAATTATCTTCCTAGCTGACAGCAATTTGGCTAAAAAGAACACAGGAGACAAGAATCTGGACAGCTACTCGAATCTACAGTACTCGGATTTATTGAATTACAATCCGTCTATCTCGCAGTATATCAAGAATCCTGCATCTATTCTCAATGTGCAGCCGACCTTCGTGCAAGCCGGGAGCTCCTTGATACCCGTGATTATTCTAAGAGTGGACGGTGTGCCACCTATACAACGCAAGGCAACGCCAAATATGAACTTGAAAGCCTTATTGCAACAATATCTCGTTCAATACGCCAAAAGTATTGAGGAATTAGCACAACAGTCCAATTACGATCTCGGTGACGATCAATCCCCGAAGGATCAAAGTTCGTTCTCCACCAGTCCTCTGCGCGAACTGGCACGATTGACATCAAATGACCCTCGGGATTTGATCGGTAATCCTACAGAATCCTACTTCGGCAAGTCAAGTTACGAAACGAGCAATCTGGATGGCGAAAAAAATCCTTCAAGTGGAAAATATGGCGAGCGTACGGCGGTCCGGCCGAAAGTAAAAAGTGTACAGATCATAGAAGATCCAATTGATTCAAGACTCGCAAATCATAGACTTTAGAATGATATCACTTGTAAACAATAGACAGTGGATTCCTTGACTTTTGTGTTCTATAAATTCGGTTTTTCAAAATACATTCTGATAAAATGTAAAATATATTTATTGTCAGATCGATACATCTATTTCAAGATATGTTATTAAAGGAGTATAAAATTCGGGGATTAAAAATCTCGATTTAAATTCACAAAAACGAAAATTTGTAAAATAAAACGTATATTTTCATTTAAGTTTAAAGAATATTGCGATAATATAGAATGTTACATATCGTAAGAAAAATAACCGATAATACAATAGAACACCAAAGTTAAGCTAAAATGATTGATTAATGCGGCGGATTGATAACTATTGGCGACAATGTAAAATCCGGAAATATGAAAGTTTTCATATAAAAAACTATTTTTTTTCTCTTTGCATATTCTCTATTTTTAAGTATTAAATAATTACAATGTACATTATTTGGCACTTCACAGAGGATGAAATATTTCGTGCCATGAACCGATTTAAAAAAACGAGATAGTAATAATAATCGGGCGTTAGTGATACGATAGTATTTATAATGTAGGATTGTGCAATGTATTATAATACATACAAACGTACCTGCGCTACTGATTTACTGAGAACACGCAAAGTTGATATTAATAAATTTTTTTGCCGTTCTCGGGAAAGCGGTAGTAAGCAAAGCATATAACTTTTGCTTTGCGAACGCACCTACATAAAATCAGCCAAACTTCCACACTTCGAAAAGGTACCTTATGTATAAATCATAGTGCGTAAGTCCTTGTACGCGATTTAAGATAATCACAATTTGTATACTGCATTATTATAAGCTAATGAAATAAGCAAATAAGAAACAAATTTGTATATAAATTAGATTTGATTATTTTTGCCCCAAATTTCTATGTAAATCAATCATTTCTAAAAGATATAAATCTTTTTATTTTATACTTTTCATCAAGATTCTTGGCAGTCACATTTTGTTTATTCCCTATAAAAATTAGTAGTTCTATAAAATTTTGTAGTAAACTTTACTAATAAGAATCTTTTTCTTTTAAATGTATGATAATATATTCACTTAAGTAAATATAGTTGCGTGTGAAAGTCAATCAAAATTAGGAAGCTATATAATAGTGATCATATGTAAAAAAAAAATTATCTATTGTATAAATTATAATGAAACTAACCGCTAGGATATAATTTTCTACTTTGATTCATTTTTGATCATAGTTGTGTTTCATAATATTCTTTGATTTTTTCCTTACTTAAAATTTTTGAAACGACTTGAATACATTGTTACATTGTAAAGTTAAATAATAGTTCACAAAATATAAAAAAAATGAAATATATTTTTAAAAAATAACTAAAAAATAATGTTTAGTACATTAAAGATTTTTTGAGATAAATTAAATTAATTTTAATTAAGATATTGTTCAACTGTCGATCAGTTAACCATTAAATGGTTGTGATAAAGTTCCTTGAACATTTCTCCCTTCCCCCCCTCCCTCTAGGAAGAATCTTTCTTTCACTTTTCCTATATCCATATTTATATTTATATATATATATATATATATTAATATTTATATACAATATTTATTTTTTTCTATATTCCATAGGCCACAAAAGCAATAATTAAAAAGCAGTTCTAGGATATCCTGTACATTATATTATATGAGCAATGTAAGTATCGTTTGATTACTGGAAAAAGCTGGTAAACATACATTAGAAGAGTATTTATTAACTTTTCCCACTAATTATATACAGTCTTGATTATAAGTACAAAGCACTCTCAATTTATTGCATTTTCTTGGAAAAGAAAACGGTAGTAAGAACTAAAGGATAACACAATATTAAAATTTGTTTTATTAAACATAGAACATTTACGTCAATTTTTGTACTTATTGCAAAGGCCGTATAAGTGCGTTATACGCATAAGTAAAGTAAAAGTTTTCGCTTTAGAATTGCTATCAATCTACACACATTAATCAAGCAATCAAGCGCTATTATGCGTTTGCTCGATATGGACAATGCGTAAACGCTGGTGCCATCCGCGAGAGAAATATAATAATCCAAAATTATTAATTAAAAAAAGATACCGGCGCGCGAGCGCGTGGAGATACATCAATGTCGACCGATGCCGTTGAACTTCAATTAACATTAATTATCTGGCAGGCACGTAAAAAAAGAACTTAAGCCCGCTTCAGCTCCATTGTTAATTCCACGTTTTCACAACAGACAGGCTCCGACGATATATCTGCGTTGCATCTACGGCAATTGCGGCACGGTAATTAGGCGCGAGGCATTAAACTGCTGAACGTTCGAGCACGAGCGCGAAAGACTCCGCATGCAGACAGGAGATCGGCTCGTGTTCATTACACACGGACGTGCACCTTCGTTTCCACGGCGCGTATCGGGAGGAGTAGACGCATCAGGTATAACGCGTGTGTTCTAGAGCGCGTAAAATTACGACGGAAAAAGTACTGGCGAGAGATACCTCGGATCCGATCCCGTCGATCAGAGACAACAAGAACCGCAGAAAACTGTAAAAGGCCGAAAGTGGTGTGCATTCGGATTGATGTTCCCAATGCGGTTTCCAATAGATAAAACAATAATATTCTACAAAGAAACCTAGAATCTCTTCGAATCTCTCCTACTTATTTGTTTCATAATTGATGCTATCCTGTTGGTTATAAATAAATATTTTGCGATGCATTTAGAAAAATAGCGATCGCCTGTTTTTTTCATGGCATTCCGCAATCAGTATCTCGGAACTTGATATAAAATGATTTTTATTTCAATTGAGATCATTTTTCGTGTACCGTGAGTATGCCCCCTCTCTATTTCCATATAATTGCGATCATTGTGGCTAGAATTCTATGTGATGGGATGACGACCACGTCCCATGCATTGCCAGACAATATTTCTCCAGGCGCACTCGCGTGTCGCGAATGAAAGTATCCTTTGCGGCTGTGTGCTGTATAAGATAATATTTAGAACGATATTTTTCTCTTGGCTGCCGGACTGTATAAAGAAAATCGCGTATCTACTATGTGGCTCAGTTCTCGCGTGGAGGTTCACCACGCGCGTTTCTTGAGATTATTACGAGGCGAGGATACGGGAACGAATGATCGTTATCAATGTGAACGCGTAGTACAGTGTGGCACATGAATCTCCTTTTTGTTTAATGTTTCATTTCTGGAGGAATCTTAAAAATGATTTCAATAAAAATGATTTTTTATTATGTAAGTACTTGGAGCTAAGTACTTTGTGAAAGTGTGAAGTTTATTTGTGCAATAAAAAACAAAATTTGTCATTTGATTTTCGGTGTGAATAAAAACTTTTGATGTAGAAACGAATTTGGTATATTAACTCTGATATAAATTAATAAGGCGGAATATTAAATGCAATGTCGCATTATTGTTTCCAATTTGAGTGACAGATTTTTCCCTACACATGGTGTAGAACTTTTTCTAAGAAAATATTTATTTAATATAATGTATTTTTCTCTCTCGCTCTCTCTCATTGTGATATATAGAGAAAAAGAGCATGTAAAAATATCTTATCTTTTTCGATTTCTATCCTTCAAGCAATTTATTTTTTGTTT